TGGGCGCCATTTGTAACGAGTATTGTTTTTCTGCCTGCCGCCGCTGGTCTTGACCCGCCGCCACGCCGCCAGCCCCAAATAACACACAGAGACTCTGTATTTGATACAATACTGTTGGCCCGGTTACTTGTTACTTATCGGCTAGCTCTGCCTTTAATTATTAACCCATTTCTGCTGATCTATGTATTTCTCTTACCAGGGAGCCGGCGGCATACTGCTTTCTCCAGACTCTCCATCTTGACTCCTCCTTACTACTTCCTATTTCCTCCTTGTCTCCTAGTCCCTCCTATCTTCCTTTCCTATTGGCCAACAGTTCTTTATTATTAACCAGTATGAGAAACATACAGAATGACATCTCCCATCAGAGCTGTGCTCCAAACTGATGTAGCATCTGCTTCTGTACCACTTTCTAGAGGACACACACCTATTCCTGAAGTAAGCATTGAGCTCCTGTCAGGAAACTTATTATTTCAAAACAGGTTTGGCAGTGTAATGAATGCAAAATTGATAAGGTTGGTACTGCCTTATAACTATACTAGTAGAGAAACAAAAATAAAGTAGTAAATTGTGATATGAAACATTAAGCAGCAGGTACATGCCAGGATGGATTGAAGCTTCCTAAAACCTGACTATAGATTATTTGCCAGAAAGCTAAGGAAACAATATGCTTGGGTGCATATCAAAGGCTAAGGGATAGAAAGTAAGCAAACACATGGTGGAATATACCTTCCAAATGAGCAATCTGGGTTAAGGCAACATGGAGAGAGTTTAACAAATCTCCAAGAGTATCCAATCTAGGAGTTTAGATTCCCTTCTGTAAGTATCCAATTGTACCTGAGGTTTTAGGCACAGTGTTAATTACCAATGATATAGAAACTACTACAGCATAAATAAATTACCTCCTTGAAGCTGTTGTTTCCTTGTATTTAAGTTTGGGGGGGGTAATTTTAAGGGTTAGAGTTTAGGGGAATATAAAAAAACAATACCTTAAAATCCAGTTCAACATGTCTTAACCATCACCTGCACAAAATAGTTGGTTAATTATTAGACCTGTAATTGACTAATAGCTTTTTATATTTGTTTGAAGAATTACAGATTCTTTGTTTTTACATAGATTTTTAAATAGGGTCTTTGACAGCTATGAAGTAATTTATTTACACAGCAGATTGGATTGCTTTTAATGTGTTTCTTAGAGGGAGACTTGATTTATCAAGTTTATTTGCATTTGAAACTGTTTGCCTAGAGAATTGTTGTCCTTGTGGTTTTTAAGGTGGTTTTGTGTGCTTTTTGGAAGATGATGATTCTGGTCATATCCAACTCACTGTAAAATGTTTGTAACGTGTTATAGCTGACTGTAAAAAGGCTAAAAGAGTTGCTGACAATATAATCTACAAACCTACCTGTACCTCAAAAGCAAGCACTTGCTTAGCTATGTATATTAAATATTGAATGCAAGTATCTGAGCTAAAGGAACTGATCATTTACCCTTCTTGAGTGTTTTCATCATTGACGGGACAAAAGTTTGGCCAGATGATGTAACTGCATCAGAGAGTGGGTCTTGATGCTGCTGCAGTCCTTCCTCTGTTAGATCTGGGCAAGTGTCAAATGGAGCCTGTCCTCTGCTCGTCCAGTCCAGGAGATGCGGTTTGGACTGTTGTTGGGGTACTTGGACTGCCTGGGATGGGGTGGGGCATGATCCTGGCACCATTTTTGACTGAAAATGCCAAAGAAACTTAACTGATCTCCAGAGAAAGGTTCTAGGTGGCTAGCAAGATGGCTCAGTGGGTAAGGGCACCAGACTCATTGGTGTGACCATAGTACATTTCTGGTTCCACAGGGAAGAAACAGTTGGAAGAAGCTGTTTTTCAGTTATGTGTGGAATGTTTCACTCACTTTTGGAAAGTTGGCTAGTGTTTAATAAATTCAGACTCATGGATTTTAGAATGATGTCTACCACTTTGCATGCATTTCTTAAAGTTTGAGTTAATCTGAATGGCTCTGCAAGTTGCCTTTTCAGCAGTGGTACTTTGCCTGTGGCACAACATGCTTGCATAAGTGAAATGCTTGACCAAAGCAGCCCTTACTCTTTAAAATTAGTAAGAGCCCCAAGGAGCTTTTGCTTGTCTTGGTTATATTAATATAAAGTTTTTATATATATTCATATAGCCTTCAATGTCCTGGAACTTAAAGGGATCCTCCTGCCTCTGCTTCCCTAGTATTGGGACCCCCAGCTGTACTCTTATTATATTACACCACACTTGCCATATTACCTGTAAGACAACAGGATAAATACATGGGAGAAAAGTTTTTAATTCAGTAGTTGGGAGTGCTCCACCACCAGCCAGCTTAGGCTCTGGTGTCTTTAGGCTGGTCATATACATGTGTTTGGAACGGGAGGGGGGGATATCAGTGCTTCTCACATAGATACCTTACTGTGAGAAAGCATTCCCTTAGGTCATGAAATTGCTCCTAAACACCAGAAATACTGGGGTGGGAATTGGGGGAGGAGTTAGCTTGTAGCAAGTATTTGAAGTAAAGGAAGTAAGAAATTGTCACTGTGGAGGGTTTGGGTTGGGAAGTTGCTTACAAGGTAACTGTCATTGAGCCATACATACAACATTTAGAACACAGCAGCTATTTTCAAAATAACACAGTGCTTTTAGAAGCTGGATCAATTTTCATGGTTAATAATTGAATACTATGCTAATTAGTCTTAATTCCTTTTGGCTTGTATAACATAGCACATCACTGTCTGCCCACACACTGTTGTGCTTGTGCTAGGATGAATGGACCATCGTTTATTCTCTGCATATGTGGATTTTGTCCTGTCCATAATGAAGCTTGTTGCCTGTGCTGAAGAGTTAAAGCATATTTGCTGATCTGTGAGTGCCTAACATTGGCACATCTGTTTAGACATCTTACCTGTTTGTTGACTGCATCATGTGCATAGTGCAGCAGGCTGCTCTTGTCAGGAGTCCTGCATCCTGGATAAGCCAGAGAGCTACAGTAGGGAGCTGGAGACTGTGCTGTTAGGTGCTCTGCCCCACAGCCAGGCTTTCACAGGTCGTTGGAGGTGCAGGAGCTCTTTTTTCTCTGTCTCTGCTTTTCCTTTTGTAGGACTACATTAGCGTACATGCCTTGTACCAAAACATACTATTCCTGATCTCCATGGCACTTACATCTCTGCCTACAACCCTGCCCTCACCCATCTTTTACCATCTCTGCCTGAGAAGGGCCATTGCTGACAGCCTAATAAGAGTGGCTGACCTGACTGAAAGTCAGCAGAGTGGAGGCCAAACCATGCACTCACATTCTCTTTTGCATTTACCTGCAGTGGATATGTGCTCTCTCCCACTATTTCTGCACCCCCACCTCACCCCCACCCCATTCCCCCACACAGGGTTTTTCTATCTAGCCTTGGCTATCCTTCTGCCTTCTGATTGCTAGGATTAAGGTGTGTGACACCACTGCCTGGCTATTTATTTACTCTTTTTACCTGGCATTGAGGTGTAAAGTGTACCCTGGTAAAAGATACCACAAAATAAAACTGGCAACACCTTTTCACCAAAATGAAGCTGTCTGGATGTTTGGAGGAAACATCCAGTCATCTAGAGCAGTGGTTTTTAACTTGTGGGTTGAGGTCACTTTGGGGGTTGAATGTCCCTTTCACAAGGGTTGTACATCATATTTTTACATTACGATCCATAATAGTAGCAAAATTACAGTTAGGAAGTAGCAACAAAAATGATTTTATGGCTAGAGGTCAGCACAACATGAACTGTGTTAAGGGTCACAGCAGAAGGAAGGTTGAGAACCACTGGATCTTGTGACTTAATTCTTCCCTCAGAGAACTGTACTTTCAGGTACCTTTCCTGATCAAGGTAATTGTTGCTGGAGGCTGAGAGCAGACATTCTCTAAGAGTGTACCTTTACTGGGATAGCGTCTGTCCACTGCATCATGTCTTTTCAAGGGCTACCCCATTAGCCTTGTTTGCTTAACAGTCCCACATGAGGAATAGCTGAGTTATGTGCTGGGCTGTGGTGTTCCAGGTCCTCTGCCTGGGACTTCTGCGGGGTTTAGTATACAGTCCCTTCACTTTGCTAAGACTCATGTGAGTATTTCTATTTAGGATTTGGAGCATTAATTCTTTTTGTATTGCTAGCTAGGGAAATTTTATATTACTATTATAGGAATCCTGTCTCATCCAAGCTTCAGTGGTCAGTCATAGTCGTTAGCATCTTAATCATCTCTATCTGACAGGTCATCTCCTTGCCTGGTATTCCCCATCCTGGATGGGCCACTTGCCTTGTAATAGCTTGGGTACCACCTCACTCGGGAGATCTATTATGTGGCTGCAGAGGAGGGGTTGCTGTATATAGAAACATTGGCTAGCATTTCTTCCCCCCCCTAGTTTGGGTCTGTGAATGGTTCTGCATTGTGAAAGTGTTTGGCACTGCTTAGAAGCTACACAACGGTGATGAGAGAGCCTGTGTCAGCTGGAGATTGGTGCAGACATAATGTTATGACACAGTCAATGTATCACTTGTCTGAGGTTGGTTTTTTTTTTTTTTTTTGGTTTGGTTTGGTTTGGTTTGGTTTTCCCCACAGTGACTTCATCCCTTTGGGAATTTGTATGAACCATGGTTACCTTTTATTGCCCTGTATGTGTTGTCCATGCCAATCACAGCTGCAGGGGAGCAGGCCCAGTTGGAATAATTAGATTGAGGAGCGAATGTCACACTTCTAATTTCATTTTCTTTTCAAGGGATTACCAGTGTCCCTTTAATAAAACAAGATTAGCCCTCTACAGTGGATGTATTTGAAAGCTGTCTGTATAACTTGTTGGATGATTGCAAGGGCTTTGTGCATATGTACCGCATGCATTTGATGTCTCCTTTTGAACGTTGAAGCAAATATGGGATAATGGACAATTGCCATAATAAAATTGTTAAAGTACTCACACAGCCCTTAACACTGTATCTTGTATTGAATGTTGCAGGAAACCTCGCATCAATTCCCAGCTGGTGGCACAGCAAGTGGCACAACAGTATGCTACTCCACCTCCCCCTAAGAAGGAGAAGAAGGAGAAGGTGGAAAAGCCTGACAAAGAGAAACCTGAGAAAGATAAGGACATCAGCCCCAGTGTCACCAAGAAAAACACCAACAAGAAAACAAAGTAAGTTTCTGGACACTAAATACAACATATTAATTTGCACTTGGATCACAGATTTTAAATGATGACTTATTTTTATTTTTCTGAATCTTTGCTTTCCCCCTTAGACCAAAGTCTGATATTTTGAAAGATCCTCCTAGTGAAGCTAACAGTATACAGTCTGCTAACGCTACAACAAAGACCAGCGAAACGAATCACACCTCAAGGTACTATGAAACTGTAGTGAAATACTAAGCTGTTGATTTAATCATAATCAAAAGCCCAGGGTTACTACATACTTTTTAGATTTTAGGCCAAGGGAGGTGGAATGAGAAGCTAGAAAAGGCTGCTGACCTTTTTATATAGATCATCTTGGCCAGAACAGAAAAAAGTAGTTTGTCACCTATGATCAAAAGTTACGCTAACTGGTGATCATTTATTTCTCTTACTGCTAAGTGGTCAGCATACCCACAGCTAGCAGGCACCAATGTTTCTGTGGTGGCAGCTTAGGTCCATGGGAACAAGCTTGTGGGAGGTTTGTGTTGCTGTTACTTCCTAAGTGGCTCCTTTGGTGTGTTTCAGGCCCCGGCTGAAGAACGTGGACAGGAGCACCGCACAGCAGTTGGCTGTAACTGTGGGCAATGTCACAGTCATTATCACAGACTTTAAGGAAAAGACTCGATCCTCCTCTACATCCTCCTCCACAGTGACCTCCAGTGCAGGGTCAGAACAGCAGAACCAGAGCAGCTCGGGGTCAGAGAGCACAGACAAAGGCTCCTCCCGCTCCTCCACGCCAAAGGGCGACATGTCAGCAGTAAATGATGAATCTTTCTGAAATTGCACATGGAATTGTGAAACTATGAATCAGGGTATGAGATTCAAGCCCTCCACCTGCCCATGCTGCTTGCACCCTGGAGAGTCTTCTGTGGACGACCTTGTAGTGATGCTACCAGGAGAGGTTCTACTTGCCGTGGGCACCTGGCTACCAAGGAATTTCGTACCCTGACAGTTACTCTTGACACTTTTATGTATTCCATTGTTTTATATGATTTTCCTAACAATCATTTATAATTGGATGTGCTCCTGAATCTACTTTTTATATAAAAAAATCTGCTGTGCACAATTTTCCATGTACATTACAACTGGTTTTCTGTTTCTGTTTTGTTGAAGAGGGTTGGGAGGGGGGGAGGGAACTTTTATTTATTGTGTTCACAGACTCCATCCTGTCAGCATATCCTCTTAAATTTAGTTCTTTCTTCCAGCTATACTCTGTACTATCAGTTTTGATATAACTATATATATAAATATAAAATTATATATAAAGGGTTATTTGAAACCAATCCATGGCAACGCTGGTGCTTGATACACTGTGAAGTGAATACAACATTGGACAGTTGACACAGATCTGGGACAGTCCCTTCTATGAAAGTGCTGAAATATAATTAAGATCAGTCTTACATGAAGTATGTTCCAACCTACATGGGAACTTGACTCTCTCATCTGTCTTTAAGAGTACTGGATGATATAAAAAAAAATATATTTTTTAAACAATGTGATCTCAAATTTAAAGACTGCTCCAGATAGCCTGCATTTGCGATGGGATAATTGACAAATCACAAGTGGTTCAGTTGGAGGGCTTTGGCCATTTGGAAGTAACAAAACTAGCTCCAGAATGCCAAGTATTCGTGTAAATTACGGTTATATGTTAACATTGCTGTTCTTATTAAGCACTCATGAAAATATGGTGTTCTGTATCTCGAATTCCGGCCTTTTTCCAGACCTCTGCTCATGCCTGAGGCACGTCTAGCAGCTGTCTCTTAGTTTTAGGGTTGCAGTAGTACGTTTTTAATCCACACCATCTAGGGAAGCAGTCCTGTGTCTACTTCCCCTGTGACATTGCAGTGGTGGATTTTGTGATCATGGTCTGTTTGCCACCCTACCCCCACCCTCCAAACCCTCACCCTACCAATGCAGTTGTTTATTTTCTCCTTAAAATCTGCTGTGGGTCATTTTATTAAACAACGGTTGTCAACCACACATCCAGACCTGACACAGAGATCTTCCAGACTCATGTCATTTCTTTGCTCCTTATGTGGAAAAGGACCGCAGGGGTGCATGGGCAAGTTGCAGGAAATCTCACGTCCCAGGAAAGTGAAGCAGGTGGTCTTCGTCTTCTCAACAGAAATAGCTTGACTGAACCCAGAAGTTTCTTTTCACTTTTTCCTATTTTGGGCGATGGGATAATCAAAGACCACTAATAACAATCTATCGCCCCATCTCATCCCAAATTTGGGTGGTTCTGCTTTGCTCTTAGATTCAGGGTATCTCTCCTATCTGACTTTACCTTCATATCCACTGAGTTTGTAGTACTTAAGTCACTTTAAGCATGAGAACGTGGTGTTAAACTTCCTTTATTTGATCACACTCTTAAGGACTAGTGGGAGAGTGTGTAAGGAAACATCACATCTTGGTGTTAACCTGGTTTGCTTAATAATAGAACTAATTTCTATCTGTGGAGGCAACAAGTTAAGAACATATTAACAGCTTGAATTGAGTAGCCAACAGGAATGGTTCCATTCACATTTACATTAAAACCAGTCATTTGATGCGCCGTAGTCTACGTTCTGTCCGCAAAGGCAGTGCTATTTGTCGCTGGGCTCCTGTTCGCAGAAGCATGGACAATGATGCTCCCCTCTTTTTAAAGCAGTGCTTGTGTCTGGGATACAAGCTGTACTTAACCTTTTTAAATACCTTTTTAAAGTATTTATTAATGAACCAAAGGAAATGAGGTGCTTTCTGTAAGCATCAGAATATATAATACATAGTGATTTGACTATGAATTTTAAATCCACATTTTAATATTAGTGGGGTATTGCAAAGACATTCCTTCTAAAGTTTTAATATTCCTTTTATTAAGGGTCTCAGGGAGGGTTAATTAGTCAGCCATATTTATTTTCCAGAGGTATAAGGAATTGCTAAGTTTTTTAATTAACTTTTTAAAAAAATTTAAATGCCACCAAATTCATGTGGATTGCACTGCTCTTTGAACCAATAAGTGTTGGTATGCACTTTGTTCAGAAACAAACACTGTGTACTTTTTCAAAACGAGTTTCATGTAAAGTGATTGGACCCCCTAGATTAGTGGGAAAGGCTGATTTACCAGCTCCTCATAGGCTACTAATTCATGCATCGCCGGTGTCTTGGTTTTTCAGTTTTGCCTCCGTGATAAATTAATGAGGAGAGGTGAAGGGAGGGAAGGCTTCAGAACGAGTGGAGTGAACTTGCCTTGAGGTAGAAACTGCAGCTAACAGCGGAGTCTAAGCAATCAGATGTTCCTGGCTGCCCTGTTGCAGCTGTCACAGGCTCTGTTGGGGTGAAGAGGTGTGGTAGGTGCTAAATGATGACATCCTCAGGCATGCATTCTGGAAATGGAATTCCTGTTAGCTTCCTGCATTTACAATTTGCCCTACTATAGTACTCAGTAGGTAAAAACACTAGTGTAGCTTACAAAGAGACATTAAGAGGACCAGAAATACTTGGTATTCGGTGGCACAGAAAGCATATTCAAACAAAAAGCACAGTGTTAAGGCTTGCAAGTTTCCCATATGTTTAGTACATGATCTTTCACACTCATGTGCACACGCACAGAGCTGACCTGACTTGCTCTGCCCGAGTCATGCAGTTGGGAGAAGATAAAAAGACATCTTGATACAAAAATATTTTAATCGAAACCTTTCAGTTTGGATCTGGATACTTCAAAACATTGGCAGAAGCTTCTGTGAGTTTAGCTCCGCTAAGATGTCTCTCCTGCCTTATCAAGACCATTCTCAGTCTGCATTTGTAAGCTACCGTATCTTAAATTATTGAGAATTTATTAATTGCTGAATATATAATAACCTTTGCTTGTATGTTACCGAAAATGGTTTAAGAGCCAACATTTAGAGTGTGACAATGGAGCTGAACAGTTTCTAACGCGCAAGCAGTTCTGTTCTTGTGTATGACTTGTAACCTTAATTTACTGTGTAAAGATGGTTACATTATTTCCTTAGCTTTGTTTGTTGGAGACAGATAGCGAATGCTTGTTAAGTATGTCAGAACATAATCTTCCCTTGTGAACTTTTGTTAATGTCTTATACGAGCTCTATTTTCCATTTGCCCAGAAAGATGGCTTGTATAATGCTTTGGAAGTTTCTGCTCCGTCCGTCTTAGAGCTGACAGTCTGTTAGGTTTGTTTTCTCTTCATGCTAAAGTGTCGGTGGTTTTGTGAACTGGTCAGAAATTCACAGGTCTTAAATGTTTGGGGGAAATTTATATTGGACACTGCTCTTTGTCTAGCAAATAAAAGATGTTAATATATTCCTGTTATTGGCATGTGCACGACTATGTTATTAGAAGCCACTTTATCATTTTCCTGCTTTAAATAGAAATGTCTATTTATGAATTCTGCTTGTAGTTTTTTCACAAATAAAATAGTAAAATTTACATTGGAGATGATTATTTTTGTTGTTCCATAGACTTCAGCCCTTAGAAAAGCCTAGTTTCATCTTTTTTTTTTCCCGCTCCCACTTGTGGAATGTTTCCAGTGGGGATAGAAAGCATAGTTCCTTTATTTCTCGTGTTAGCACACACTGAAGTTATTTTGAGTGTTGTAGTGTATAGATCACAAACATAGTACAAGGATAATTGAGCCCCAAAACCATCAAAATTGGAAGAAAGTTATTGTGTCTGTCTTCTTTCAGATAGGCTGTGGTTATCCAAAGGAAGGAGCTGGAGGGGCTTCCCTGTGTTTGAAAGACCTCAGCCAGCCTCTGCTCTTGCCAGAGCCCATTAAGCCTGTTGTGACCAGATGGTGTAAAACACCTTGTCTGGCCCACAAGCCATACAGCAAGGCTGACTTCTTACCTGCTGCCTTGGAGGATTCATCCTGAGGACTTCTTGTCTGGTTCTGTGCTTGAGCTGACACTAGGGAAGAGTGCAGTCTTGCCTCATTGAAGAAACACCAAATGGTCCCTGTCTGCACTTCATCACCATTCAGTTCTTCAGAAGGATTGGGAAGGTTTCAGAGTAAATGGTGTCAGTGTTGCTGATGTTTGCCCCAGACATCTTAGGTGCAGAAAAGTTCTCTGCTCTTCCTCCCATGCTTTTTGTGATACTTGTAGGCCCTTTGTGGGGATCCCTCTGACTCTGGCACTGAGAACACTTGGGAGGATGGAACCGCCCATGTAACATGTGCAGAACACTATAGACATCAGGAAGAGTAGATTATTAACCTCACTGAGAGGCTAAAGCTAAATTTATGTGGATACTTTACTGTCCTGAGAACTGCTTGCCAGTGAGACCTCAGTGTGATAAGAGGTGCTTGCTGAAGGAATCCTACAAGGCCAGAGTGATGTTTAAAAGGCTGGCAGTGCCTGGACAGCTAGCTCTTGCCAGGACCAGAGGAAACCTGCCCCTTCACCTGGACCTTGGTACTCAGAATCATGGAAACGAGCAGAACAGATGTAGAGTCGCCTTGGAGGCAAGCTGGTAACCAGCCAAGTGCTGTTTGCTAGTCATGGATGGGAGCCATGGCCTAATCTGCTTGCCCAGTGAAAGGGGATGATTGATCTTACAGGAAAGACTCTGATTTTTTCCCAGAAAACATAGGTCATTACCTGCAAATACAATCAACAGTGAAAGGTATGCAGGTGATGTTCTGCCTAGCATTAATCAAAGTGGGGTTGGAGCTTAGGGGGGCTCTCTAAGGTATCCAGGCCAGTCAGGCTTCAGTTTTGATCATGCATTCACAGGTTGCTGGGGTGAGCAGTGAGGTGGAAAGGACAACAGGCTTGAGACGCCTACTGTGCGGGTGCTTTCCTAGTCCTGTGTTTGCTGCTGGGGGTTGGACATAAGCAGGGTTTTGCATTTGTCAGGTGAGCTCTACTACTGGGCTGCATCCCAGACTTTTACAGTTTTAGTTTTGAGATGGCCACCTCAAGTTTTCCAAGGCAAATCGTAAACTTTTGGTTCTCTTGCCCTGACCTCCAGAATAACAAGGATTGCAGGCCTGCACCAACAGACCCAGCTGTACAGGGGCCTTTGCCTAGGCCAGCAGGGCAAGTATGCAGGCTGGTGCAACTTCACACCATCATGGG